CCCCCCTGGGCGCCCCTCAGCGAAGCGGCGAGCGGAAGTGAGGGAGCCGAGCTATTTCCTACCTTCTGCTCGGAGCTTTCAGGCGACGTAGCTGGGACTCCGGCCTGACGCCGGCCCGACCTGGTGACCACCATTTCCCCGACTACGGGCCCCCGTGGCCTGCCTCAGCTCCGGCGCCGCGGAAGTGCGTCAGAGACCCGCGGGCTCGCGTTTGCCGCGAGGATTCCGGACCTCGCGAGAGTCTCTTACGTGTCCCCGCCCCGCCTGCCGAGGCCCCGGCGAGCCGAGCTGGGGGTCCCGGAGGTGCGCGGGAGAGACCGGCCTTTTGCGGGAAGAGCGCTTGGTGGGGGCGGGGAAACGCGCAGCGACAGGGCCTTCGTACCCGTTTCGCCCCACTCCATCCAGCCTTTCATTTGTTGGGCAATGCTAAAGGTTTTAATGTCGCCAGGGGTGTGCAAGGAGACGTTTGCATTACTTACACTTTTTTTTTTCCCCCCCAACAGTCATTACCCTTGTATTATTTGTGAATTTAAATATAAATAAAATAAAATTTCAATTTCAATACTTGGTTGGGGTAAAGATGTTTATGTTAAACGCCCCAGGAACTCGGAGACGAGTTCAGAAGCACTGTAATCTAAGGTGAGACGGTGACTAGGGAATGGGCAGAAGCAGAAAAATGTTTAAGAAATTGTAAAAGAGAGTGATAAAATTCTTGAAGTGAAGGGAAGAGAAAGACCTGAATGAGTAGAAGCTTTGGGCTTCTTTTAGGATGAAGGGTGGAGAGCCAGAATGTTTGAGAGAACGGAGAGGTGATTGTTGGACGTGAGGACGGACGAGTGCCTCGATGAATGTATTCTTTTCTTTTTAAAATACATCGTTATTGATTTCAGAGAGAGGAAAGGAAAGGGAGAGAGAGAGATAGAAACATCAATGATGAGGGAGTCACTGATGGAGCCCGCAACCCGGGCATGTGCCCCGACCGGGAGTCGAACCCCGATCGCCTGGATCCCAGGTGGACGCTCAACCGCTGAGCCACGCCGGCCGGGCGATGTGTTCTTTTCTGCTTTTATAACAGACAGCCTTCCTTTTCCCTTAATGTCACAAAGCACAGGTTCTTCAGTGGGCACGCTGCCACTCAGTTGGATAGCTCCTTTCATTGTTTCCCTTGCAGCCGGATGTGGCTAAATTTTGGCCAATTACATATAAATTGAGTGTCCCGTCGTTCTTAAGGGGCATCTTCAAAGAGAGGCCCTCCCCCGCCTCCTCTAACTTCATTCCACTCCCTGGAAAGCTGAGCTCTCTGGCGTCCAGGCAGCAAGCCTGCTCCAGGAGGAGGGGTGGGTGCAGCCGCAGGAGAACGCTCCTTCCTTTGAGGCAGGAGGGAAGGGCTGCGACTTGAAGCAGAGAGGAGAATATGAATGCGGGGGAGTTAAAGTGGAGAGAAGGAAAGAGGAGGGGACTTTGGAGAGATAACCCCAATTCTCTCTGTAAGCAGGCGATTCATCTGCTCAGAAGAACGGGGAAAGTTTAGGTTGGTTCTTGAAGGGGATGTTGTGAGGAGCAAAAAGAAGGAATTTTGGTAGGGCCAAGTAGCAGCGAGACTGTAAGAATAGAAAAGAGGCTGGACTTCATGAAGAGAAGGTAGAATGGCAGACGGGAAGGAAAGTGAACTATTCGAGCATCAATCATAGTAGCAATATTGAGTATTTACTATGTCCTGGGTATTAAGGGCTTTACATGTGTTAATTCATGTGATCTCTACAAAAGCTGTAACATGAGCAAATGCATGAAAATAGAAATTAAGATCACAGGGGTGGATACAGAAAATTGGGAGAATATTTGGAAATTTGTAATTTTCACTTGCAGGCATGGCCCCTTTAAAGTAAAACAAACAAAATTCCAAACATTACAACCTAAAACAAATATAAAAATTAAAATGTCATTGCATATTCATAATCTGAAAGACTGAGCTAGTCTACCACCAACATGTGGTCTGAGGGTGGACAAAACTGCAAAATGGCCTGTTTTTGTTTTATGTGGACTTGCCAGGTCTGCCCTATTTTCCTGTTTCTGCCCTCTCTGCCTACCCTCTTTACCCAAAGCGGATTTGGGGCAAACAGTATTCTCACTTTTAGGTAAGTACAGTATAAAAAAATATGGTAGTTAGTACTCAAAGAGAAATTCTAACCTCGATAGTCTCTATTTTACTAATTAAACCCTTAAACTGGAGGGTTGACTCTCTCTGGGATTTTATGCATTAACCAAAAGTTGAGCGTTTTAGTGCATGGGCCTCCTCATAATAGATACTATTCATGGTCATTCTGAATTAGTACAAATAAAACATTGCTTTTAAACTAAGTTTGACCTGTAAGAAGGTCCCCAATAATCCCATCTCCTGGTTTCAACCCCTTGAACGTGGGCTGGACCTAGGGACTTGCTTCTAATGGAAAGAATGGCAAAAATGATGGGTTACGTGACCCACGCGCACCTGAAGCGCAACCTGCGTGGAGGGGGTGGCCTCCAGCTCCTGCAGGGCCTGCGGTACCTGCGCGCTCAACCCGGTGGCAAGTGGCTGGGCCACGCAGCGCCTGTCTGGTTTGCAGACCTGGCCGAGCTAGAGCTGCTCTACCTGGATCTCAGCTGCGTGGCCTTCGTGGTAGAGGGCGCCTTCCAGAACCTCTCGGGCTCCTCGCTCTGCGCCCCAATGGCAACCATCTCACCGTGCTCACCTGGGCCGCCTCTTTGTCATCCCTCACCTGTGGCGCTGTGACTGCTGCCCGGAGTGGCTGCGGGACTGGATGGAGAGCTCTGGGCTTGTCGCCGATGTGCCACGTGCCTCCCCGGGCTCCCTGGCCGGCCTGGACATCAGCCAGGCGGCCTTTGGGCCCTCCTCCGAAGGCCTCGGTACGCGCCCCGAGGAGCTGAACCTCACTGCGTCTAGCCCGAGCCAGCGACCAGCGCTCTGAGCAGGTTCTGCAGACTCTTCTCCCAGCCGCTGGCCCCGAGGGCCCCTGTGGGGAGGCGGCCAACACCCCGCAGGGCCAGTCAATGCCTGGCTGACAGCCTTCCCTCGGGTGGGACCGGAGGCTCCTGCCACAATATCCTGTTGCTTTTTGGCTCTAGTCTCCTGCTCAGCGTGGCCCAGCACATGGTGTTTTGTCCTACACACATACTGACCCTGCCACACTGGGGTGGCCCAAACTGCCTTGGCCAGCTGGGGAAATTTTACTTAATTGGGCTTGAAGGTGTTTGCGGTCAGGGGAGGGGGGAACAGGATGGGAGCCGGTGGTGAAAATTCCAGTGGAAGGTAGGAGAAACAGTTTGCCTCCAGAGAGGGTCCTGGGAAGAGGTCAACTCTGGGATATGTCATGCCTGGGGTGAGGGTGGGGTATGGATTTCTGCTCAGTCATACAGGCATCAATGGGAAAAGAAACAGGAATCAACATGAACGCTGGCCCTCTGACGAGAAGGCTAAGAACTGGAAGCTCCTAGAGCTTCAGGGCTCCACCTCCACCTCCCCCAATCTTCCAGAAATCAGGGACTCACTGCAATGCCTGAATTAGTTCCTTGGCTAAGTACTAAGACTGTGCCAGTTTTCCGGGTGCAGCAACCCATTAGGCCCAATGCCTTTGTTTTCTACCCCAATCCTCTTCCCCTTGGGTCTAGGGACACTAGGGTCCCGGAAGATGGACAGGACCGGAGAGAAGGGGAGTGGGAAAGGGGCTTAGACCTAAGGGAGTGGTGCTGGTTCCTGGAGTCTGAGATGTGTTAGAAGAGTTAAAACAGACTCATTTCATTTACTCCACACTGTTCCCAGGGGTGGCCTTAGGAGTAAAGGAAATTTAGAGCAGGGTAGAGAAAAAAAGGGGAAGTGTTTGTAAATTTGTAAAATCCTAAGATTAAAAAAAGAAGCAGGTTTTTCTGCTGGACTTTTCAGTCTTTCATATGCAAACACGCATTGCCAATCTCCGGGGAGGTGCAGAATCTTTTCTTAGCGTTTATGGGAAGTGTCCAGAAGACACAGAAATGCTATGTTAGCAGGACAGGGAGTCTCCAGCTTGGATGATTCTATTAGCTGTGGAAATTATTATGGGCTGCACCCTTTGGGGCTAATGGCCTAGAGGAAAGGAAGCAGCCTGAAGCTGGAAGGGGGGCTGAGATATTTCCCAGGGAGGGAGTTGGCCAACTGTAAATGCCCGGGCCTGACAGAACAAAGGCTGCATGTATGTCTACTAAATCCTGGCTCAAGCTGTTCTCCATGCAACGGTAAAGATGACTGCATTTGTCAACACTTTGGAAATCCCTGAACTTAATGTCCTGAGTTCCTCTCTCTGTATTTGAAGAGGTGGGTTTTTCAAAGCCCACGTAGATTCAGGGTGCACTGCGTCGTCAGTTCTTCATGGTGACAGTACTTCTTTTGTGTCTCTAGGTAATATTAAACATTAGAAATGTTGCAGAAGCACTCCCAAGGGTATATTTCAAATAGGTTGTGATCATTAGTGATCAACTCAATTTAATGGATCATAACCAGCATTTTCAAAACAAGATAGAACACAAAAGTCACAGAGCATTACATGTAATATTATAAAAGTATTGTTTTGTGAAACTTTAATTTGTATGCATTTATTCAGTTACATATGTCTGTCTGGATTGCTTCATACAATCTGTATTTTATTGTGGGTTAGCATTAAAGAAGTCTGAAAGCCCCCAAAATAAAAAGATTAGGTTACAAAAATGACTTTTATTTTTTACTCTCTCACTTGTTCATTCTGGGGGAAGCTAGCCACATATTAAGAGCTACCCCATGGAGAGAGCCCTGTAGCAACAAGTGAGGGAGGCCGCTCACCTATACCTACTGAGGAACTGAATCCAGCCAACAACCACATGAGCAAAGTTGAAAGCAGACCAAACCTAAAGCAAGATTACAGGGGAGCCTAATCTCAGTGGACACTTTGATTGCAACTCTTTGAGACAGCAAAGATAAGTCACTAGTGAATAATTTTGTCTGTTCTAAATCTTCATGTTAAGGAACTAATATGTACTCTTTCATGCTTGCTTGCTTTCACTCAGCAGGTTTCTGAGATTCACCTGTTACTGTATATACCATACTTCATTCTTAATTGCGTAGTATTCCATTGTATGATTGTAATACAACTCATCCATTCAACTGTTGATAGCAGTTGGGTTGTTTCCAGTTTTCAGCTATTATGTATTTATGTATGTCCTTCTGGGACACATTTTTTTCTCTTGAGTATCTAGGAGAATTGCTGGTCATTTGGTAAGTGTACATTTAATTTTGTAAGAAATATAAAATTATTTTCCATAGTGATATTTTACATTCCTACTAGCAATATGAGTTCGCTTGCTCTATATCCTCACACCAATACTTGGTATTGTTGGTCTTTTAAAGTTTTAGCCATTTTATTGTAGTTTTAAAGTGCTTTTTTCCCAAATGACTAAGATATTTAGCACCTTTTAATAGTCTTACTGGCTATTCATGTTATCTTTGGAAAAAATGTGTTCTAACCTTTTGCTATTTTTTATTATGTTTCATTACTAAGTTATAAGACACCATTACACTCTCTGGATACAAGATCGTTATCAGATATATGATTTGTAAATATTTTCTCCCATCCTGTGAATAGTTTCACTTTAATGATGATGTCCTTGGCAGTACAATAAAAACATTTTGATTATGTCCAATTTATTTTTCATCAAAAATAGGTATTGGAAATATGTCCCCCCCATTGATGGCTTGCATTTTCATTTTCTTAACAGTGTCGTTTGAAGAACAGCAGATTTAACTTTTGATCAAATCTAGTTATCAATGTTTTCTTTTATGATTAAGATTTGTTATAAAAAAGCCAGTTTTTTCTGTTTTCTAATTCTATACACATCAAAATAAGTCAAAATTTTCAAATAAAATTTAAAAAGCAAGCAGAGGAAAAGCATTATTTCCAGGGAAGGAAATCTAGATTTTCACTAGCAAGAATATATATACTGTAAGTTAGTAGAATATCATCTTCAAATTGCTGAAGGAAAGTATTTGGAAAATTAGAATTCTATAGTAGTCAATGGTCATTTAAGATTGAGAACAAAATAAAGACATTTCCAGACAAATAGGACCTAAAAGTTTACTGCCCAAAGACCTTTGATAATTACTAAGGACATACTTAAGCAAGAAAAAAAGTGAACACAAATGGAGTAGGCTGCAAGAATCCAGTGAGGAAAGAAACAGGGAAAGTAGAGCTGAGTCAAAATAAGTAATGTATATTGTAAAATCTGAACCTTCTTAAAATAACAGACCAACACATGAAAATATTGTGTGACACTTATACATTTATTCATTACTGAGGGATACATATTAAGGTTTTGTTTGACTTTTTCTGGTAGTGAAACTGCATAAAGCTATATCCTGATATAGTTAGGGGATTTTGGCATGTTTTAGTCTCTCTTTTATAAAACATGACTTTTCCAACCTTGCCTACTCTTCTCAACAGAAGTCATTCCTTTCTATCTGGTAAGCACAAGCTCTTAAAGAAAATGTTTTCACTGAATTTCTAAAGTTTACATTTAAATTGTTCGTCATTCAATAAAAGCGTGTTTACAAACCAGGCAAAAAGGGCCTCTGGGCAGAATGCCCACCCACACCTCCTCCTCTGATCCCACCCTAAAGCTAATTTCTTCATAAGTGTCTTCTAAAAACAGTACTTCCAAGCCCCATTCCCTTTGCGCACCCCAAATCCTTTTTCACCACAGCTATCATTAACAGATGCAGGTTATTATTGCTCTGTGTGTCTATCTGCCAATACCTTGCACAGTGCCTGTTACATAGTAGGCTTTTGATATATCTGTTGAATGAATGCATGAATAGCTTTCTGGCTTGGATATTTAAAAATTATTCTTAATTTACTTTCAAAGTATACTCAGCTTGAGTTCAAGTAGTTCAAAATCATTATGTTTCAGGATGCTTTCAACTGTTGAAACAATTCAGTTAAAAATATACTCACACTTTAATCAAATTTGTAATAAGTAAAATTAAAAACTACTGTGAATATTAATAATGCTTTATATTTTCACTCTGGCTGAGTGGCTCGGTTGGAGCGTCGTCCCGTACACCAAAAGGTTGTGGGTTCGATTCCCCATCAGAATGTGTGCGGGAAGCAACTGGTAGATGTTTCGCACATCGATCTCTTAAAAAAACACAATAAAAACATATCCTCGGGTGAGGATTTAAAAAAAAGATTTATATTTTGCCTGTATTTTATAGTACACCGATACAGACACGACAGAATTATCTGGTATAGGTTCAGCCCTGGCCCATGTGCTCAGTGGTTAGAGTGTTGTCCTGTGCACTGAAGGGTCTTGGGTTCGATTCCCAATCAAGAAATCCACATACCCAGGTTTCAGGTGTGATTCCTGGTCTGGGGCGGCCAATCAATGTTTCTCACATCGATGTTTCTCTCTCCCTCTCCCTTCTTCTCTCTCTAGAATCAATGAAAAAAAACTCCAACATATTCTTGGGTAAAGATAAAAAAAATAGGTTCACAATCATAAGTTGGTATATTTGAGTATAAAAACACAAATAGTTTAAATTCTCATTAAAATAACTTCAAATTTCTCTAAATGTACCATTAGCAGAAAGATGAACTGTCAGCCAATATACAATATATCCATCACTTAGATTCCCAAATATTGAAAATAGGTGGAAATATTAGAAAGAAAATCTTTTCTGAAAAGAGATATAATTAAATGAGCCTTAGACCTTTAATCACTGAAAATCGATATTCTATTTCAGTTACTACTTGGCTGGTAGGAAAAAACCTGAACTATTTATTCAATATAGAATGAGTTTATTTTCCATTTCACACATAGCTAATCTTTTTTGACAATGGAAAATTATTAGGTATTATTTGTGATTCAAGTTCTAGCATGGGTTATCCCTACATGAATACTCTACTAGCCTACTGGCACAAGTGGTCTTCAGAATTTACACCATGTGGACATATTTTATAAGACACCTTGGTCCTTCTGGTTACTAGTTTCTTGGAAGGGAAGATAGACTTACCACAGAAAAACTCCAAGTTACAGTACATTGTGTTTAAAGTAAGGCTCCAGTGTATTTTGGAAATGTAATAATAAGCTGCAGGTTTTTTTTCATGTTTACTGAAAACAATTATATAAATTCTTTTTCTACCTTGGTCCACTGGATATACATCTACCCAGAAAACATATCTGTTACAGACACTATTGATAACTTAGCTTTCAGCTTTAAGCAATTATTTGGTAGTGTCGCTTCTTTATTTTATGGCTTTTTAAACATTAAGTTCTTAAACATTTGAAAAATATTCACTATTTTCTGATAGTTCACACACAAAAAAAGATGTGAACATCAGCTTGGAAAATTATAAAGCCTTAAAAAATCAGTTGCTTTTTAAAAAAGGTTATTCAATAACAGAAATCAAAAGTGCAGAAGTGAAACAAACAAATGAAAACTCATTTAAAAATTCCATACATGATCCCTTTCACAAAATGAATCTATAATCTTCTTTGTCAGGACTAGGGGGAAAAAAGAGCACACAAAAACTCCTCTTAAGTTTGAATACATTAGCAACATGTTTGTTTTTTTCCACTTTCAAAATAACCCTTCAAACAACCCAGTTTTTTTAAGTCTAGGGTTTATGAAACCCCAATAAATGTGACATTAAAATTCCCTCTTAGTATATATTGACCAACTCCCTGTATAAAGGCTTAAATTAAAGTGAGCATTTGTTTAAAGGCTTATGTTATATGAAAAATGTGGTACATTTCCAAATAAAAAAGTTAACTATATATATTTAATAACATTACATACAATTAATATAAAGGCTATATAAGGCTTTAGGAAGCTCAAAGTCTAAACAAAGTTTAGCAGGTAAATCAGCTGATTTAACATTATAATTCTAATGATCAAATTATCTAACCACTAAACCACAAAACCTTATTTATGACAGGAAAAGTGTCTAGAGTATTTACTTTGAATACGGAACCACAGTTTTTTCCCCTAAGTTGTAAAAGTTGGGCATATTAGTTTTCTATATTAGTTTATATATACATATAGTTTAGTTTTATAAACCATATATTAAAATATATGGTACAATTATAAGTATTGATTGAGATACCAGATTTTTGAAGAACTTTCCAAATTTATAGAATTAAGAACTATAGTATATATCAAAGGTCACAGATTATTTGTTATTTTCTGGTTCTTCAATGAAGAATTATACCAAATGACCTCTAGTCTCTTCTAGCTCTAGTTTTGATTATATTGTTTTGCTTTTAAATAATAAAGACTTTTTACATCACTCTCCTAGCTTTCAGTCCCTCACAGTCAATAATTAGAGGGGAACAAATACCACATATTTAATTGGTTCTTAATCCCTGTGTCCTCTCTTCTCTTCAGAGTCCACAGTGCCCAGCACATGATAAGAGCTCAATATTCGTGAATGGAAAGCAAAATATTAAGGATAAACCAAGAATTTACTTTGGTTTATAAATAACAGCAAGAGAAAATATGGCACAAGAATACAAGGTTAAATCATTACAGGTAAACTATAAGCAAAGTTATTACGTAAACTTAAATAAAAAAAATTGGTTTCTATCCATGTATTAAAGAAATGAATTTTATTTACAGTACTACTAGATCCCAGCTACTCCAGTTACTCTGAGATATAATCATCAACAGGAAAAATATCTTCCAGTATTTCAGTTTTAACAATTGTAACCTAATTGCTTAGTTATACTATAGAGTAAGAAGCAATTAATGAGTTTTTTGGAAATAAAAAATATGTATATACATTACCCTGATGCCTAGGCCAAAATATATCTAACAACAAATTTTCTGGATTTCTATTAGTCATAAAAATAAAGGAAAAATATATTGCAAATATTTTCTTTGTAGATAATTTCAATTAGAAAACAATAGTTTAATGAAAACAATACAGAGGTTCAGTGAGTGATAGGAGGCAAGAGAAGTATTCAAAACTTGACAGATAACATGTCAGATATAACTAAAGGATATCTGCCTCAATGACACTGCGGTAATTAGATTTTTACACATTTCAATTTTATCTTATATTCGAAGAAATACAAGTCAGTGGGTTATGATCCTAAGTCATAGTTAAGAACCCCTTCTTTTAGCTTGTAAGATGTAGCCTTTTGATTTGATGATTCCTCTACTTTTAACAATGACTGAGTATCTCAGCAGCCACAGTGGCACCCACTCATGTGCTTGGATGTCAGGGATGCTTTCCCGAAGAGCTTCTTGGAAACTTGCTTCAGAAAGCAGTTCTTAAAACAAACAAACAACAACAACAACAAAAAATCCAGAGTTAAATTTGAAAACAAAAGCACTTTCTATGTTGGTAAGCATTTAAATATAACAAAAGAAACACCTCAAAATTGAATATAAAATACGCTTATCCTTAATGTGTGCTGTAAAACTGAACCAGAATATCAGAAGGTCAGAGGCAGTCCTTCAGAAAGTATCTATACCTGTACTCCAGCCTATTTAATTCATAACTTTTAGTGAATGGAGCCTGAATACTTGTATTTTTTTGAAGATCTCCATGTGATTCTAACATACTGCTAAGAAAAATACAAGAAAGTAGAAAGAAGAAAATAAAATGTTACCCATTAGCCTATCAACCAAAGACGGACCATTTCTGTTGCTATGTATTTTTTCCCATTTTTCCTATACCTATCTCCCTATCTCAGTATCTTTTTTTTCATGCTTTGTCAAGTAGTTTTATTAATTTTCCATATGTATTTCTTTTATTTAAAAATATTACAAATGTCCCTTTTTTCCCCCAATGACCCATTCCACCTTGTCCCATCCCCCTCTCCAGTCCCTCTCCCCACCGCTGTCCATGTCCTTGGGTTGTGCATATATGCATATAAATTCTTTGGTTACTCTCTCCCCCTCCACCCACCCACCCTCCTCCATCCCTCTGACATTCGTCAGTCTCATCTGTGCTTCCATGTCATTGAATCTATTTCATTCATCAGTTTATTAAGTTCTTTAGATTCCACGTATAAGGGAGATCATGTGATGTTTGTCTTTCTCTGCCTGGCTTATTTCACTTAGCATAATATTCTCCAGGTCCATCCATACTGTCCCAAAGGGTACGAGATGATTCTTCTTTACAGCTGCGTAGTATTCCATGAGGTAAATGTCCCACAGCTTTTTTATCCACTCATCTACTGATGGGAACTTGGGCTGTTTCCAGATCTTAGCTAGTGTAAATTGCGCTGCTATGAACAAAGGGGTGCATATATTCTTTCTGATTAGTGTTTCAGGATTCTTAGGATATATTCCTAGAAGTGGGATCACTGGGTCAAAAGGCAGCTCCATTTATAATTTTTTGAGGAAACTCCATACTGTTTTCCATAGTGGTTGCACCAGTTTGCATTCCCATCAGCAGTGTACTAGGGTTCCCCTTCCTATCTCAATATCTTAAAAACTAAAAATCGTACTGGAGTTACAGCTTTCTCCTACCTTCCTGTACTCTTTATGTTCCCTCCTTTCATTCGAAATATATAAGAGAAGCTGCAAACTACTGTTCTCTGGAGATTTGGAGATTTTGCTTCCTGGCATTGCCATCAATTTGGCTCAAATAAACTTATAAAAATCTCTCCAGGTTTGGACATTTCTTAGGTAAACAACACAAAATCAAAGAACTATGCTAGTCATTAACTACATATTTATTTATTAAATAATCCTCACCTGAGGATATGTTTTTATTGATTTGAGAGAGAGAGAGAAATATTAACTGGTTGCCTCCCATACGTACCCTGACTGAAGATGGAACCCAAAACCTAGGCATGTGCCTTGACTGGGAATCAAACCAGCAACCTTTTGGTGTATGGGACAATGCTCCAACCAACTGAGCCACCTGGCCAGGCTTAACTACATACTTTTGATTAAACTATGTTAACTCCTTAGAATCAGTAAACATGAGAAATCTTTTAAGAGAATTGCTTCATTTCTAGATCAAAGTGTATTAAGATTCATTAATGGCATTTGCAGGATCAGCCTATAAATTCTAATCAAAGGGTTTAGACTTAAAATTAAAGAGACATCCAACTGTCAAATTATGTCCGTAAAACAAAAACATACAAAAAAAGCATCAAATTTCTCTTTTCATATACATATGCACTATATTTTGCCATAACAATGATGTATTAGCATATAATTCACATGCCGAAATTTAGATAACCTGGAAACAAAATACTAGATACCTTAGTCTTTTTCTATTTCCTTTCCTATTAGCAAAAGGATAGTTTTTTTTCCCAAGTGGAGCTAGACTGGGGTACAGGCTCATCCATCTGCTGCTGGTAACAACTGCTATTGGTAATAATTACTGTTGGAAGAGCACCCAACCCAAAGTAAACAGGTAAGTTGATATAATATTAACAACATATGGAAAGTTAAAATTTAAATGGTTTATATTACAGAATGAATCAGCAATAGCAACTGTTAGGTTTTCACTAAAATGACTTTTTTTGTTGTTACGTCTCACCCAAGGATATTTTTTCCATTAATTTCCAGAGAGTGGAAGGGAAGGAGGGAGGGGGAGAGGGGAGATTGGGGGGGAAGGGGAGAGAGGGAGAGAGTGAGAGGGGAACAGGGGGAGGGAGGGAGAGACAGACAAACAAGGAGGAGGAGGAGGAGGAGGAGGGAGGGAGAAAGGGAGAGAGGGAGAGGGAGAGGGAGGGAAAGAGAGAGAGAGAGAGGGAGGGAGAGAGAGAGAGAGAGAGAGAGAGACTGACTGGTTGCCTCCTGCACCCACCCTGACCAGTGCCTGGATCTGCAACCCAGGTACTTGCCTTGACTGGGAATTGAACCAGAGACCCCTTGGTGCAAGGGCCAATGCTCTAACCACTGACCCACACTGGCCAGGGCTAAAATGACTTTTAAAAAATTTGAATCTATATGTTATGCTGTACTATCTCTCTGCTTTGAAATGTTTCAAATCAGAGAGCCTATATAGCATAGTGGGGAAAGGCTCCAAATTCAGCCAGGACCTATGTCCAAGTTCAAACTTTGCCCTAAAATAAAAGCATGTATGTTTTGAACTAACCATTAAGAATAGTTCTAGCCCGGCCGGGCGTAGCTCAGCGGTTGAGCATCGACCTGGGATCCAGGCGATCAGGGTTCGATTCCCGGTCAGGGCACATGCTTGGGTTGCGGGCTCGATCAATGACTCTCGCATCATTGATGTTTCTATCTCTCTCTCCCTCTCCTTTCCTCTCTCTGAAATCAATAAAGATATATTAAAAAAAAAGAATAGTTCTAAGTAACAGCATTGGACATTTATCACTGTACACAATTAGAAAGTCAATTTTAACAAGTAGCTCCTTGTAAGATAAAAGCTCGAGATCAAAGTCTATAAATGAAAATCTGTCTTACCTTTTGGATCATTATGAGTCAATAATTGTATGTCATATTGTTTAGCAAATGCAGTCAAATCGGGTGGCATCACACAACAGGAGGCAAGATTAACTTGGTTACTATTTGGTTTTACCTAGATGTGAAAAAAAAATTATATCTCCTCTAAATTAAGTGTAGTACTAAAAGTAGGTAATGGTACAAGGACTCAATTTTAGAAAATATGAACTATCCCATTCTAGAGCACTTGAAGTTTATAAAATACTTCTCCATGAACATGTTGATTAATGTATGCTTTTCTAACTCAAGTTAGTGGTAACAGAAAGAAAAAATAGCTCTGGGGGGGG